CAGCCCGTTCGCGGGATTCGAGCCTCAGACCGAGCTACCAGTGTTCAGTGAATTTACCGCTCGGGGGCCTCTTTGTTTCGGAATTTTCGAAGTATAGTATTTCTTTATTGAAAGAACCGTGTTCAAAAATGCATACAGTGGCTCACATTTGTTTTAGGACACTGGTATTTTCGTAACTTACTTGCATAGATCTTGTACCAGATATTGAAACACACTTCGGTATTTTTCTAATATTTATTTCTGTTTTAAAACTTGCATACTACAAAATAAATATAATATTCTTTGCAATAAAATAACTCGCATAATTCGGGACTTTTAACTCACATAATTCGGACAAGCTTTTTTCAGATGTTTTGGCAGACTAAATGCTACAAATCAACGATCAACTCTGCTCAAGATTTAGCTATTCATTATTTTGAGGACCTGGAAGCATTCAAAATATCCAAAAATATCCTTAAAGTAAAGCAGTCCATTACCTATGATGTATTAAAACCATGAAAATTTCATGGACCTGAAACTTTCATGAAACTATTCAAAATGCACTGAAGTCTCGACTATAATCTAAGCTAAGGCAAAGGAATCGGAGATTTACCCTACGAAAAAGTCAAACAAAATCCATACTGTAAAACCCGAAGGAGATTTAGGAAAACGGTTTGCAACAAAAGTTAATCGCGAAACCCAAGGAAAAGTTATTAGAGGAGATAGCTGCCATCAGCAAGAGGTTAATTCTTTGTCGATAAGAACGGGGTTTGCAAAATCCTTGGCAAGGAAAGATTTATCATACCAGAAAAATGTTACATTGATAAAAAAGTAAAAATTTAATTCATTTGGGCAAGATGGGCTGTGAGGCGAAAGCCAAATGAAGAACTGAATCTGAAATATCTACTCTTAAGCATGGAAGTGGAAACGTGATATTTTGGGTACGTGATGTGGAAACGTGATGTTTTACTGCCTCCGAGATGGGCAATTTACTTTTGACAGAAAATTATTTGGTTAAATAAAAATATACTTAATGAAGACCTTTAAAAGTATCTGCAAGAAAACTTGGAATACAAAAGACGTTGACATATTTATCAGAATAAGATCCTAAACCTACAGCTTGCCATGTTCGGTTGTGGTTATTAAATCTTCTATATTCTTCGGACTTAAACCCTACTGAATATTTATATAGTTAGAGAAAAGAATAAGTGAACATGACATGTCTACGAAAGGTCCATTAGAAATCAAGTTTACCGAGGAATGGAACAAAATAGAACATTCTTACTCGGAAAATTCTCACATCATGACCAACGTGCTAAAAAAGTTCAAATTTAGTTAAAGACAGCAAACGTGATATTGGACGTTCCTCAATTTTCATAATAAATAAAAAGTGCTTATTCAAGGTGTCACACTCATTTTCAGAACTCTTTGAATAAATTAATTTTTTTATAAAAATTAACGGGAAAAAGAAAGTCATTTCGCTACTATTTAGTAACTGATATTTGCAAATAAATCTGAAAAACACAAAAATGTTCGAAAACTATATGAGCCACTGCAGTTTAGTTTGCAAAAAATTCTGCAAATTTTTGGTTTGGTTTGATTAGGGCCAAGCACTCGAGGGCTATTTGCTTAGGGGAAGCGTGTATTCGTGGAGGACTTTCCGAAGGAAACTGACTCGTATACACATAGGGAAATCACCCATATAACAGCTCGTTCGTGGGATTTCGAACTTGGGACCGAACTACCACTGTTCAGCGACTTGACCGCTCGGTCACTGGTGAATTTTTGAATTGCATCTTACAAATACAGTTGTTTAACACAACTAAGATCGAGCAAAATTTAATAAAAATAATGCTGAATATCACAAGATATAGAAGACTGGAATTTAAAATTAATAAAATTTAAATTGCATAATGAATTCGGACATATTGCACGAAAACATTTCCCTTAGAAATTGTTAGAAATTCATAACCCGGATATCCGGTGAAGTACATCGGTAGCTACGTAAAATTTAAGTTCCATTAATTAAGTAATGTTCATACACTGCGAGAAAGTATATTAATTGAAAAAGTTAAATGTTAAAAACCGAAATATTCGGTGATCAACCGATAGAATTGGTATCCATATGTTCCAAGTTAATGTTTTCTAGTTTTAGAATCTTTCCAAATTCCCCTTAAAACTCTTTCAACTGAACTTGCATCATTGCAATTTTATTTTGCAAATTCATAAGTCCTACATTAGTTGAGGACAGAGTAGCAAACGCAGGTGTAATTTTCTGAATTCTATTGCAAAACATAACAGATTTCGCTCTCGTTTTGTACAGAGAAGAGCCCTAGAGATGAAATGTTTTAATAGAACTGCCATTCTTCGAATGTTTTTAAGAATTCTTTTGGGCTCAAAACAGATGTTTTCTGCGCAGAATAAATCAAACGAATTCCCATTTTCAAATTTATGGATTTATTCCTTGGACAACTGGCGCGAAATTTGTCTAGCAGCCATTATTGTCCTTATAACAAGACTTTCAAAGTAAGTACTCTCGATAATATTTTTAAGTAGGTAAAAGCTATTTAGTCTTTCCTTAGTGAAATAAGGAACCTAAGACTTCTGAAGTTAGAAAAAAAATTTACCAGAGTTAAAATGAGCTGATGTCAAAAATAAATTTTCTTGCTGGATACATCAATCTGGCGTATGTTCCTTCTAGAGATGGGGTTATGCAGATACGGCAAAGAAAAGGATAATTTCATGGGACTAAATGAGACTGGATCGTATTCACGTTACACATTGAGCAAACCTGTTGTCAGAGAACAGGTTAGGCTCCCAATATTCCCCTATCTTAACCAATCAGGCCACTGGAGAGATAATAAAATGTTCAGTTTTGTGATAAAAATTCCTGTCTTAAGGGCTTATTCTTTCGCTTATTTTGTGAATTATCATTGTACACCGATTGTCTCAGGCGATCTACGAATTACCACATGCAAAAACTTTTCTCCACTTATGGGAGGAACAAAGGGCTCTCGTACTACTTCATACAGGACCAAAACACAGAAGTCAAGATTTTTTTAATGGCGAAAACCATTCTTTTAGGACTCCTCGATTAGCAATGATTAAGCATACAATAGTAATTTCATGGATTCAAGTGCTTATTCTTACGTCTCAAAATCTTACAAATTAAATTACAAGATTTTAAACAATCTTTAACTGTGATTTTCTTACGGAAAGAGAAGCCCGTTACCAAATCAATTGAAACTATGTATTTGCCACTTTACGAAACAGAATTAGTTTTGTTTGCATTCCTTAATGTCTAAAAAATTGGTTAAAGTCTGAAATATCTCGCTTTTAAAATAATCACCAAGTTTTACTTCGACTGGGCTTGGTAAATTATAGTGTCAAAAATGGTTAATTTTTAGAAATTTAAGGGGGGGTCAAGAAAGAAATTTATACAAAAAGTGTCGAAACTGCTATTAAAAATAACAATACAATACTTTGTCAATTTCTACAAATTACTTAAAAGTCTTCAAACTATTAAAAACAAGCGTATTTTAATGCTAATGAAAGTGTTGAACATTTTGTTCAGCAGGTAAAATGGAATTCGATTCGGAACTTGAGAGCAAGATAATTTTAAGGATATTTACCTTAAAAAACTGTTGCTGAAAATACATGGGAAACAGGTTCGACCTTATTTGGCATCCTAGGCCATATTTTTTTCAGCTCTCCCCCTGTATAAACACAAAACTGAAATTATTGTAGAATGGGCCGGACTGGTTCAAGACTGAATAGAAATAGTTCTCACTAGCTTTGGGTTCGAACACATGTGAACGGGCTGAAGTTTTTTGTGCGTGTGTGTGCGTGACGCGAATATGAGTGTTTCATCAGAAAGTCTCCACGAAGAATTCCTTATCCTTTCTCTTAGGCAGATGGCCTTTGTGGTCTTAATATTCGAAAAATCTAGCCTAATCATGATAGAAAGTTTCACGAAAGATAATTTCTAGTGCGACGCTCCTTGGGTCAAGGACGTTACCCAAGGTCAAATACCTAGGACGCTAAACGAACAAATATTTCAATATTTTATTTCCCTACCCTGGAAAGCTCAGATATCCACCAAAAGCTTAATTAACGAAGATCTTTCTTTCAGAATCGCCATTTTGAAACTTGGTCTTGACAAAGTCCAAACACGGAAATATTGCAAATATAAGTTGTGAGGCGCAAAATTCGTTAAAATTTTTCAGTCAACTTCATTGAAAAGAAATTTCCTATTACTGGCAGACTTTTAATGTTTGAAATTCTCTTCAACTTAGACAATCTAAACTGAATTCAATTTTGTTTGCGACGTGAACACCACGTCGATAGGCATTTATCGCAAAAATGAAAACTTGGTGCACACGTCGTTTAACAACGAGATTGTTTATTTCTCGAGTTACAGCTCTGGATTGCACTCGCAGAGCAGCGTAAATGAGACACTTTACCGCTTGTTATATTGCAGCGCACGGCACCGCAACCGTGAAGTTAAATCGTAGCGTAAGTGGTTAAAATGCTCGATTATCTAGATGGAACATTTAATGAAAAAGCGTAGTTAAAGCTGTCTTATGAAGACCAAGAAAATGCACAGCAGATTTTAACTAGAGAAATAGTTTGCTTACAGGGTATAAAGTGCTGTCTATAAACAGACTAACATAAATTCATCAATATACTAAATATAGAACTTAACTACAAGTTGCATGACAGTCATAAAAGCAAATCCATGCTACATAAAATAGTGTTTATACTCCACTTATACTGAGTTTACTATTTCACAGTTACATCCCAATTTTGATCATGAAATTGTGAACGTACTACTTAAACAGAAGGTAGGAAATTACTGCCTTTTTTGTTTCAAAAAATTGTATTTTGATATGCGCAAGCTAAAATCATCCAGAACAGATGCATAACTCCTGTAAATGGCAAATCTGCGTCAAGTTGAATGTTAATCTTGAGCATTTTGAAATGTTTCCAAGAGATTAATCAAAATCCGATAACTAAAGGAATTTATGGGAATATCGTATTACACTTTATTTTAATTAATACAACACTTTACACTTCATTTTTAGAATACCAACAGTAAAAACGCCGCCAATTCAGTCTTTAAAAATCTGCAATACATAATTAAAACTTCGAAAATGCGGTTCAGGAATGTTGAACTAATGCTGCAACAAGTTTGAGGTTGAGGTAACAGAACTGATTTATGATCCAACTAAAACATTTTAGACGATAAAACATCAACTATAGCTGCAAGGACGGAGTAGAACAAGTCTGATCTTCAAAGACTAGACAGATAGCTCGCAGAGTTGACATAATAATTCAAAAGTTTTGTAACACACTAAACAAAAAATCTGTTTATTTACAAGTTGCATTATCATAAAATGCTTGATAATGAATAAATTAAATTCCAACTTTCAGATGGAAGGATTTTCCTATAAGCGGCAAAGAAAGCGTGATCTCAGAAGCTGGAAGCACATGGGAAGAAAAATAAAAAGTCCAGACTGCGCGAGAGGGGATGCACCGTTGCCAAAATCAGCAGTTGGTTTCGCAGGTGGTAAAGTCTGGTTTTGCTGGCTTTCATCCTCTGTTACATATGGGATAGATTCAACGATAGTGTCTTCCGTGCTGACAGACTGGACTGCTGTAGAATTTGTATTTTCCATTTCCGAATCTTTTACGAGAGCTTCTACTTCAGACGTAGCAAGAGATTCTTCTGTACTGGATACGTTGCTGGAAGTTTCATTTGTCTCTAGACCTGTAGTTAATTCTGGAATTGTTGTAGGAGAAGACGTCGGGAGTGTAGAAGAGTCCATCTCTTCTTGGGACATGACACCCTGCAAAAAATGTGCAAGTTCGATTACATATAATTATAGAAGACCAAAGTTTACTTATGACATGACTTATGATCAAGATATTTTCGCTCAGTTTATTCAGTATCGCGGAAAGCGCGTGGATGAAGCGCGATAAAAAGTCTGAAATGGAGACAAAATGCTGTGCCGTGATAACGACACAAATTATGATCGCAAATTAAAGGCGGGTAATGTACTATAACAAAGGCAAAAGTTTTGCATTCCTACACATAACGGTCCATTTTATTAAAACGTATAACGAGCAGCGATTAGAATGATGATCATAAAGCATCAAGAGGAAAAGAAGTAATTTATGTTCAATCTTAAACTTAAAGGCGTTAAACTGATTGGTTCCAACTCGGAACCTCCGTATCAGGCGAAAGGTGGGACTGCCGATTAAAAGGCCCCTTTTAGAGGTTATACCAATACACTTGCCTATGCCCCAGTCTTCCCGAGACAGACGTTTAAAATACCTCTTAAACCACCGAACTATCCACAAGGGGGGTCACCACTCTCCGAAGCATAGAAACGGTGTGACGAGCCTATGAAATTGAGATTTGTCTGATCGAATTCGCGACTGTCAGTACTCTGCTTACTCCATAATGAAAGCTCTAGTCTTAGGTTTTTATAACCCTGGTGCCGAAATTGCCAGAGTACAAGTCTCCAACAGAAAAATAAACGAGAGGGTGGAGGGTAAGTGTTTACCATCAGAATTAAAGGAGCGTTTTTCACACTTGTTTCAACATCTACTGGTACTGAAAGTTTTAAATTTCATCGATTTGCTGCACTGCAAATTAATGACTAAGGTATGGGATCAAAAATGATTTAAAATTCTTACAGTCACTAAATGGAAAGGCTCATGATTTCTGTTTGGTACGAGAGAAAAAAGCAAGAATAAAATGAGTTAAGTTGTAGAACTTCAGCGAATTCTTTAATTTTTTTTTACAGCTTATTTCATATTCTTTATTTCCAAACCAATCCGGAAGAATTAATGCGGTACTAAATATGCTTATAGCGCAATAAGCTATAAAATACATTTTTAATTACAAGCCATATCATCAGCATTATATTATGTTGAACTCTTGAAACAGATACCCAAACAAAGTTCATGATTTTAAATCAAAACAGAACTTTTATATTTTAATCTAAGGTAGGTTTTGCTAAAACTGGTTACGATTTCGGTAGAACTCGAAGAATTTAAATAAAAATGACGCCTGGCAGAATATTTTTGAAGTTGGTTGTTGGCCTAGAAAAAAAAAAGACGACGTACGTGACAAGTGCTTCTTACGCATTTAAAGAACAGCTGAAAAAAAGGAAAACATTTTCCTTATTACTTCCTTGTACGCAGTAAAAAGGAAGTATTGTAATCGCGAAAAGCTTCAGGCAGCATATTTCAACGAAAATATCCAATTTGACCGCTTTCGAATGCAATTTAACGATGTTTTTGCGCGATATCTGTACGTAAGGACAGAATAAAAGACTTCCTCCAAAAAACTAAAAAACTGCTTTAAAAATGAATGAATTCTGAAGAGAATTTTTCGTGGCGTCTGTACGAACGTATGTACGTACATAATTATCTCGCATAACTCAAAAACGAGTAGCCTCAGAACGTTGAAATTTTGTATACAAGACGTAGATGTGCACCTCGTATTTTGATTTTAAACGGCCGCGCCAAAAACTTATATAAACATATTTATATATATCCACTCCGTTACCCGGCTCAGTGATCTCAGTGTCTTTACTCTTATATGTTTGTAAATTGTACATTTTTTGCTTTAAAAATGATTAAATTATGTTTTTATCTTCCGGTTAAGGGTTTTATGCCTTTAGTAAATCTGTATGCAATATTTTTAGAATTATCAATAATTTTAAAATTGTTTAAGTGCCGCTAAGCCTTTTTTTTATGACGGCCATTGATTGTTTACATTTGAAACAGCAGACTAGTGGATTTGTTGCCAGTCTAAAGAAACTTAGCTTCGCATCAACAAAGATAACGCCTTTATTTATTATTGCCAATTAAACCATGCTTAATCCTTTATGGAATTTTTTCGAGGAAATAAGCGTTTAAGATTTACTTCGTAATTTTTAATATAGATATTTTGAGTTTATGTATTTTTGCCTTCTCGCGAAGTGAGAACTGAATTAACTGAATGAGAAATACTCAATCTTCTGTGAAAAACTTTCTTTTGTTTTGTTTGCTTAATTTCTTTTATACATCATTCTAGCTTTATTATAGTATTTGAAAAGAACATGTGGCAACGACTAGATAATTCTTTAAATAATATAAATTTTGTGCATTCAGAGTTATAATATGAACGAAATATGATACTGTTAAATGAACCTAGCGCCAGATTATCGCTATGGTAAAGAAAGTGAATTTTAAAGAATGCATTTATTCTATTGTGGTTTATGCGCTGTCGGCGAAGTAGGTTTAATTCAATCTAACAAGTTTAAATAAAATGCAAGAAAAAATGCGTACAATTTAATATTCCGTACAAGGAAGTCATGTGGTGTACACAGATTTTTTTTAAACTTGAAAGAAGTTGCATGTGTTCAGAAACTGACGAAACTTTGAAAGTCAACAATACTTCAAAATTTATACCAAGATTTACTACCGAGCAGAAAGTCCTGGCCCGTTTCGAAAGTGCATGCCATTTGAAAATGGTGCATTTGATTTGCTGAGGTAGGAACTTAAAAAGCATAACGGATTAATTATCTTAAGTATTGCTTTCATATGAGCAATATGAAATTAAGGACACGTTCTCGCAGTGCCATCTAAAATAGAATTCTTACGAAAATTTAGGGAAATAATAGCCATTGAGAACGGGCCTGCAATATCAGTTGCATTTCCTTTTACTAGTTATCTGAAATGGGAATAGAAATTTGTTGTGAAAGGATTGTTTTTATATGCAATTAACGACGATTATTTGAGACGAAATACAAGATTACAAGGCATTTATGTTGATACGAATATCAAAAACTCCGATATTAGAACAAGTATCGAATGTTTTTCGCAAGGATCACAAGCGACAATTCTCTGCAAAGATTTGTTCAGGCTATTTTTAGCGAGGAAACATTTGTCAACCAATGTAGACAGTGGTAAATATTTTTTCACCAAGAAATCTTTTAAACTAGTTATTCGTTAACAGATTGCCTCGCGTTTGACGTTAAGTAGATTCATATTCAAATAACCGAAACATTAACACTTTGTGAGCAAAGAACATTTGATTTAACAGTGAACCAACAGGCAACGACGCCTATATCTGTCTCAGGGAATTGTTTGGCATTTGCCGTCAAGAAAAAGATAGCAATTGTACGACTAGTTGCACAATATTCTGACTTATACTATGATAATGTTCAAAGTTGGAAGAAGGCAAGTTTATACAATTCGGCGCAACATATTGAAATTTGTACGTACGATAAGTTTTCAATATCGAAGATAGGAAAGATATTTAATTTAGAACACAAATTTAACCGCTTAGAAAACGAAACTTCCAAATAAACTGCTGGCTAATAACAAAATGCAACTTCACATAATATGCTTGTGAACCGATATGCCGAAACTAGTTGATCTATGGTTTATAAACAAGCCAAATATTTACTTAAAAGTGAAGAATGGCAACACTGCTCGAAATAACTATTTTCGCCAGAGTGTTACCATTCTGGCAAAATATTGTATTTGTAAAGATTTCTATCCTTCAGTTTTAAATCAACGAACCCAACTATTTAAAAACAATGTGTTGGCCACTACCAAAAATAAGATTTTCTATGCGCTAACGTGTTGCCATTCAGTAAAGAGTAAGGTTATTTAATGTTAAGAATTTATCTGTTAAGAAACTAAGCGATTTAAAAATAAACTCTTCTTAGAATGTTTTGTCTACTTAATCCGATTTAAATAAATTGCATTTAAATCTTGAGATGTCTAGAAATATTTATGAAATTACAAACGTGAAAAGGAATATAATTTTAATTATTTTAGCCAGCCGGTAGCATAAGTGGTTAGTTTTGTAAATAGTTATAAATTCACAAATTTCTCGTAATGTTGTAAATGTTAAGGCCATAGTAAATATATTTGATATAATTAACTTCCAATCAATAGAACCATGGATTGACTGTGCCATGTCCAAGGTGTTTACCGAGGAATAATGAATATATTAACGAACAATGTAAAAATTGGTACAGAAAGTGCAAGAGAGAAGCTTAAAATGTGCAGAATAATAGCAACAGTGGCACATGTTATTAACCGAGAGTTTATCGACAGCAGTACGTAATTTAATTGCACATAATTCTGAGCATAAAATACAGTTATTCATTAAAACAAAATTTGCCGTTTTGTAAAATATCAAGTGTACGTTCAGATTTTCCATGAATTTCTTTCAAAATAAAAGAATATACTCCGTTTTGAATGTTTATTTACTTTTCGTAACCTAACTATCTTAAATTGCTTGAAAATCGTTAAATTTTATATAGTTGTTCTTTTCTTTTGCGAGTTTTCTTAACTGTACTCGGACTGAGCGGGATTTTAGGCTAAGAGTTGATATCGTTATTAAATCAAATAATCGAGAGTTAACTATAAGACTAATGCATCATAGAAGTAGTTTAAATTTCTGGATTGTTTTTGAACCGTTTCGTATTTGGAAGTGCACATACAGCAACAACGCTTAGAAATTTAAATCACTTTGAAAAATGTTGAACGTTAAAAACATGCAGAAAGCTTAACTTTTACAAGAAAATATTTTGGCAAAGAATTCCAATACATTTTTATATTATTTCAATGAATAATTTAACAGCAAACAAATTAAACAGTTCAAGAATAAATTCAAGATAATGATAAAATAGACCAACAGCTTTTGTTTTTCCGATGTAATTTCTTTTAAACTAACATTGTTCTATTTATGCTTACCGGGAGCAAATAACAGCAAAAAGGTATGTCTTTCGAAGACACAGGGTGTGGGCAGCGATAATGTTTGATCATAGCAAAGCAC